GCCTAAAGACCATTTGCAACTACTGATAGATCTTTAGCTACTGTTGTTAATATTAAGGGATTAGGGCAGCGACGTCACCAGCCAAAGGGTCCTGGAGTCCTGAAGGAACATCCATTCGCCAGTGGCAAAAAAAATAATAAAGAAAAAATAATAAAATACAAAAAAACATCCCTTAATAGCATATGTCGAGCGGTTCTTGGCAACTAGTTTTAGACTCTTTTAGTCCTAAGGGAATAGAAACGCCGAGGCTTCTCAAATGCTCGGAGTATTTTGCTGGTTTGGAAAGGTAGGAGAGATTAATAATAAGTATTAAAATATTAACAAATGTATATTAACAATAACTATAAAACTTGACAAATCGTCTTAAGAAAAAATGAACAAAATTCCATTTAGGGAATAAAGCACTATAATAGTAATTAACCTAGGCATAAGAGATAATTCGGGACGAAAATGTAAAGTTGGCATTTATATGTAAATCAATTATTATTAAACAAAATTAAGTTAAAATATTTACCCATAATTCACATCGTACACAAAAAACTTTACACATTACTTTACAATACAAAACTAGGGTTTCGCCTAAGGGGCGAAAGTTCTGGACCTTAGTCCGAACCCGACTGAGCGTTTTCCCAAGTGATCCTTTCTATATAAACCAAAATTTATGTGACTGTTGCTTGTATTTAACAATGTCACGTTCAATGTAGATTAATAAATTGAAGGTTTGTTTCATTGTGTCTTTTTAATTATTTAATTTAAACATTAAATACTTGTTTAGAATTTTTGGTAAATTCTTTAGATTTTTTCAATTAATAATAATGCCAATTATTACAATTTTATCATGAGCCGATTTTATAATGAATATTAAAAGGTCTATTAACTAATGGGACCTTACGTAGTAAGTTGGTGGCATATGAGAAACTTTTATTATTTATTAATATTAGAAAAGTTATTCTTCATAAAAAATCGAGCATTGTTTAAAACCTAAAATACATCCATCGAATATCATACGAGGTTTGTCAAAATTAAAGGTACTTTACTTTTCAGCAAAAATCATATTTTTGACAAACCTCGTATACGGCTTAAAAAAATTTATATATGATGGTTGCTTTTTAAGTTTCGGACCATGATAACTTTTTATAAAGAATGACTTTTTTTCATAAAACTAAGAATAAAAAAGTTTCCCATATGGTTTCGACTTAATTGGACACACTCTATAATAAATTTTATTTATTAATATCTAGCTGAACTATTCACCATTAATAAACTTTTGCTTATATTCCGTTAGGAAAAAGATAATAAGACCCGGTTTTTACTGTTTCTTGTCAGAATTTAAAATAACGTGTATAAATTAACATTGCATTTAAAAGTTTCAAACATTTTTGAAAAAAATGGTTAATGTTTAAACAACGCCACCTAGTACACGTTTAAACAAATTAATCAAAACTATACCGTAATCTGGGGTGAGATCGGACACATTTTAAAGGTTTTTTCTTAATAGCAAGAGGCTAGATTTTTGTAAAAATCTGAAAAAATTAATATAAGAACCTTAAACCTTCCTCTATCGAATACAGTATTTGTTTTTTGCATATTTCAAAAAATTCTATTTTTTTTTTTTATTATTGGAAGGTGTCCGAACTCACCCCTATGAGTGGTCTAAGTTCGGATCACCTTTAATTTATAGGAAAATCCAAACTTAATTTATAGTAAGAGTGTGTTCGGACAAATATAATTAAATATACAGATTTCATAAAAAAAAATTCTTAGGGGGGATAGGGGTCCAAACACAATTTCGGTACGAAAAATTTTATTTAAAGTAATAAAACTCAAATATTTTTCCAAAAAAACATAAAAACATTTAAAAACACGTAATAACTATGTTATTAACCAAGAACATAAACAATAAAACTAAAATAAGTTTCCAAAAAACATAAAAACATTTAAAAAAAACACGTAATAACTATGTTATTAACAAAGAACATTGCAATAAACTCATTATTCTATTTTTATGTTGTTGGGAAGGTGCTTAAAAAAGTGCCTTCCTCTTCTTATTTCTTTTAGAAGAATTTAAATTTAAATTTAAATTTAAAAATATCTTTTTTAAACGCAAGTCCCTCATCAGAAATATCGGGAAATATAAAATAATTATTTATTTCGCCTTTTATTCTAAGATATTTTACTAAAAAAAGCTCTTCCTTTATATCAACAATTTTATCTATTAGACCAACAAAATATCGAAAATTTTTTTGGTTTTCATAAGGAACGGAAACTACAACGAAATCTCCCACTTCAATGAGATTTTGATCTGGTTCTCTCTCATAAGTGCTGGTAGAAGGTTGCTCAAATACAGGCATTTCATTTTCGTCTTCATAAACGTTTTCTTCCTCTTCTGCGCAAATGTTTTCCACATCACTCTCCTCAAAAATGATATTTTCTTCTTGGGGAAGATCTTCTGTTCTCACACCTTTTCCAGGGGCAACATTCAGCTTTTTACCCCTCCTCGGTTTTTCGCTTTTTTCCTCCCATCTACAGTCTTTTAAATATTCGGAAAAACTTTGGCTCCAGTGATCATTAGCATTATCTTTTCTGCTGTCTTTCCGGGCAACTTTTCCAAAACTATTTCAGCGTTTAATGGAACAATTCCACAAGCTCTAAAACCAGATTTGATATTTTTGTCGATATTCGGGTCCAAAGATTCTAAAGTTTTCTTTAAAAGACGAGGAAATTCTGATTTAGGCAGGACACTTTTATTTTTCATTTTCCAATCAGTCAAGTTTGCACGCCAGTGTTTCTTCATGGGGCCAAAAAACGCAACATCCAGAGGTTGCAGCAAGTGGGTGGCATATGGGGGTAATAAAATGAAATGAATGTCGTTTTCTTCACATTGCTTAATCACAAACAATGATAAGTGACTGGAAAGATTGTCGCCAATTAACAACTTTCGCCCTTCTAACTTGCGGAAATATGGCAAAACCACTTGTAAAAACCAGTCTTCAAATATTGGTGTCTCAAACCACCCACTTTTCGATCTACTGTATACAGTGCCTTCTGGGCCCCCTTCTATCCAAGTTCGGTAAATATGAAGAGCTCGGTATACGACATACGGAGGCAGCAAAACACCTGAAGCACTAGCAGCCATCATAATTGACGTGCTTCTTTTAGAAGAATCAATAATTTTATTTATATGTTTGGATCCTTTTTTACCAACGACCTTTGATCTTCCAGGATCGTCAGTTAAATTGGATTCATCATAATTAATTATGTTCTCTGGAGGAATAGGTCCCATAACAGCCTGAAGGTTATTAAAATATTCTTGAACTTTTTGCCTATCGACTTCTGCTCTACTCCTCATGATATTTTGTGCAAGGCGCTCCGATAAAATTTTATGTCTAAACATAAATCCATAAAACCAATCTTCCCCGGGCATGTTGTCTTTAAATCCTGTGATTTTTGTTCCGGATCGGTCCAAATATGATTTGACGATTAGGCGAATATCCAGCCTAGTTAAGGGAAAGTCCCATTCGGCGGAAGTTAAAATTCCTTGTGCCACATTCTCTTGTTCTTGGCTTAATTTGGTTTGCCCGCCACTTTTTTTAGCGTGCTTACCTGTCATTTTGTCATTTATTGTCGATTTTGGTATGTTGTAGAACTCTGCTGCCTCCCTGAGGGTCTTCCTTTTAGTCCTGACATCTTCAACAGCCTTATTTAAAGCCTCTTTGGCATAGTTGGATCTTTGTTTTACGCCAAGAGGACGCCTGTAATTTCTGGGCATGGTGTCCGAACTCGCCCCACGAAAAGCTATATTTTTTCTATAACAAGAAAAAAAAATTCGGGAATGAAAAAATAAATGATAATTATTCATGAATCATTAGAAAACATATAAACCTACATTATATGAAAAATTACGATTCAATTGCTTACAAATCCCTTCCCCCAGATGTTTGTTTCTAATGTTATAAAAAATATGCAAATTACGACCCATATCAAAATATCCCGTACTTACCACAAACTTTCTCTAGCGGCAATTTCTACCTAACTGGAGTGAAATGAGACAATATTGGACATGTAAACACATGCAAAAAACTTCGCCAATGAAAAACGTGCTTGTGGTCACGTGATTTCCCACGCCGCGCACCATTGTCCGAACTCGTACTACCTGTCCGATCTCACCCCAGATTACGGTATTGAAATATTTTACTTAATCAATATGCTTTTAATTGATACTAAGATTTTCAAAATCTGATAAAAGACACGGTAGTTATAATAGTTTTATTAAATCCCAATCGCCCCTACCAGTTATTTTATTAAATTAGAGCAAAAAGTGTTAAAAAAACTTTTGTAAAATTTGTTCAAAATTATCGTTCTTTTATTATTATCAAACTATTATTAGACATTTATACGTAAAAGTGATCTTTTGCATTATCATAGCGAATTACGCCCTCTAACGGTTAACATAGAAAGTTTAAAATAATTTCCAGCATTTTTTTAGGCCCACTTTGTTGTAATTATTTTTTTGAAGCTGTAGGATAAATAGTTTCTGAGATACAACAGCTAAGTGTCCTTAATCAGATACCCTGTATATAGCTTCAATGTGCGAGTAGGGCTAAAACTAAAAAATATCGGAAATAAAATATTTTACAAAGATCAACCAAGATCCCATTTTTTGTGACAAATTGCGAAAGAAATAATAATTATTAATCTTAACTTTTATGAAATATAGGGTGTTTAAAAAGTTTGGATCAAAATTGTTTTCTTAGTCCTTAATTTTACGCCAATGGGTTATCGTAATTTATCAAAATAGCATGTATTAATTAATAATTGTGAATAAATAAAAAGTACAAATTTTTAATTTAAAATCTTGACCATAAGAAAATATATTTAATAAATTATGTATTCATGAAATTTATTTTATCGCCCTGTAGAACAAAAATGGGGAAATTTACAGGAAAATTATATTTAGCTCTCTCCTGGTTTACGGTACTTTATTCTGAAACGCCTTGTATTTGTTCCAAGTTCAAGTTCGATGTGCGAATTGTAATTAAAAATGCTGAATAGTTATTTTGAAATTATTTTCCAAACATATTGAATTGCAGATCGAAATTGGAATAAAATTTGCCTAATGCATATTTAAATTATAAAATAATGAATACTGTTTATTATAGGTGAAAATTAAAAACAAAGCGATTTTTGAATACCGTCGTTAGTATTGATTACAAAGGAATCATTGAAAACTGATTACCGAACTTATAAAAATCATTGCAGGATAAGAATTGTTTTTGTAATCTAAGTGCAATCACAATGAGAGCGACAAATTTTATTTTTTTGGTTTGGTTATTCTACGTTACTCAAATTCACGGGTACACTAATCGTGGGTACAGTAATCGTGGGTACAGTAATCGTGGGTACAGTAATCATGGATTCACTAATCATGTAAGTAGAAATATATTTTTTCTGGATATTATTTTTATATGCGGGGTGAGGCACCAAAACAGATGAATGATTTTATAGGCAAAATATTTTTAAAAATATCGAAAACACTGATATTTATATCAAGGAGAACAAAATGTAACACGAGTGTGGGTGGAAACTATAAGAACCTTTCTATTATATCCTCAGTTGCCAAATGTTATTCCCCTTCTTTCGGACACTGTAACCAATACCTAAAATTTAAATATTTCAAACTTTAACATTCTGCATCTCGGAAACGAAGAGTTTTCGAACATAGATGTATTGAACAAAACATGTTTATTTTGAAGTATATTTACAGGAGATACTGCATAGGTATAGTTCGTTGCAAATTATAAGAAATGGAATTCCCAAATCACACTATAAACAGGATCGGCATGAGCAATGTGTGTTATAAAAATGGACAAAAATGTTTTTTAACATTATTTATTACGTGAAAAATTATAAGAGAAGGAATATTCATCGTTACTGTAAATAGTGTTCTAGGATTAGCACTGGGGGCAAGTAATTTTAGACAATTTTACAAGTACCAAAATAATTTTTTAGCTATAAAATGAATTAAAATTATTTATACAAAAACTCTGACTTAAGGATTAGCGCTGTTGTCATTTTCACTAAAATCACTGTCACTACTTTCAGCTACGTTAATAATGAATCTTTGTTGTGGAGTCCTTATTAAATATTTATTCTCAATAGTAATAACATGTTAAATCACGTTCGCCCAAAGTACATAAGTAATTTTATTAAATGCATGTTGTATTAAATTAATAACATTCTCACTTGATTTTGGAGTAATATTGTTATCACAAATATCTTTTTTTAAATGGGCTCATAATAATTCTATGGGGTTAAAAATGCAATAATAGGGAGGCAACCGCAGAATATCGTGTCCACGACTTTTTATAATGTTGTCTACTACATACTCATTGGTAAAATGTCCAACTTCTAAAACTTTTAGTAGCTGCTTTTTAGATACTTATACTTCAAAATATAAATGATTTTCCATTAAAAATTGTTGGATCACAGGTTTAGTTGAACACAATAACACTGTTATTATGTGTTTTTGGAATTAAATCATATTCTAGTCATTTTTCAAATAAATCTCCATCAATATCTTGATGATAATCTAGACTACATTTTTTTATATCCTTAGCCGACAATAATAGAACATCCTCAACCCAACCAGATGCTCCTCCATAATGTAAGATGCATATTCTTTTACCCCTGGCTGGAGGTACATCAGCTATGCATTGTTTACTACCATCAGACAAACTTTTTTTTGTAATTTCATGGGTGGCAAACCAAGTTTCGTCCAAATAATACACTGTTCATCCTTCACTACGAAATTATCGAATTTTTTCAATATAATCTTGTCTCCATTTTACCAATCGTTTGTCCACCACTTTAAATCTAAAACCATGTGATCTTAAAAATCTCCACAAAGTAGTTTTATGTCAATTTCCAATTAACATTTTGTTTTTTAAAGTTTTCATTAGTTTGCTTAAATTTGGGAAGTTGTTTGCATCATACATGTCATATAATGTTTGTCTGATAGGTTCCAATAATTGCTTTGGTATACAACGAGAAAACCGGAATCGTTTCGCGAATACCGAGGTTCTGCTTAATTTTTTATAATTTTAGCTACTACACAGATAAAAACGATATCTTAACTGAAGGCAAAACGAATTTAAACCAAGATCGCCGTGTCTTTGAATAGGGCCAAAGAAATATGTTCTTAACAAAAGTCAGTCGTTTCCTTGAATTTAAGGATCATTAAAGTTCTTAGTAGGAGGTAATATGTATTAAGGCTAAAGGTAAATGCCTTGGTTCAAGTTTCTTAAATTTTTGGTTATTAACTTTGTCCTAAGGATTTAAAACTTGACTAAAGAACCATTAACTTGGGAATGAATACATAAAATTTCTTAACTTAAGTACACCTTCCCATTAAGTAATAAATAATCTCGTGTCAAGCACGAAATCTTTGGATGGTGATACTTATATTCGTGTATTACTTTAGTTTAAGATTTTTATGATTTTCTTTCAATCACATGAAACTTTACCCAAGAAAATATGTTCTTGTTTCAAGAGATTATTTTCTTGGCCCAAGACAATATTTTCTTCGATCAAAAAATATTTTCTAGGTTCAGCAATATTTTTTTTTGATTAAGAGAATTATTTTCTTTGATCCAGAGAATATTTTCTTCGATTAAGAGAATATTTTCTTCAATTAAGAGAATATTTTGTTTATTAAAGAGAACATTTCCTTCAATCAAGAAAATATTTTCTTTGGGCAAGAGAATATTTACTTGGAACAGAACAATAGTTTCTTCGTTCAAGAGTATACAGAGTGTCTAATTAAGTCGGCACCATATGGGAAACTTTTTTATCATCAGTTAAAAAAAAAGATATTTTCATAAAAGTTCTGCGCGGTATAAAACCAAAAATGCAGTCATTAGGCATTACATTTTTTCAGTCATGTACGAGGTTTGTCGAAATATATGAATTTTATGTGGGAGTAAATTACCTTTATTTTTTACAACATTCAAAATTTTTGTTAAGAAAACTTGATCAGAATTAAAAACTACTGTAAGATATTTAATATTATCTCAACCATTAAAAATCAGTTCTACGATTTGCAAAATTAAATGTATATTTCGTATTTTTGTCAAAAAGCATTAGAGATAAAGTTTTTTAGTAGACAAATAATATTAAATGTATGACCGTAGTTTTCAATAATTCTGGTAAACTTTCCTTTATAACAATTTTCAAAATTGTTAAAAATAAGGATATTTACTCTTGCATAAAATTCATATTTTCAGATGAACTTCGTACCTACGTAACTGAAAAAAAAAAATATATTTAATAGTTGAATTTTGGGTTTAGACCAAGCAGAACTTTTTATGGCGAATACTTTTTTGCATAAAACTAATAATAAAAAAATTCTGATATGGTGCCGACTTAAGTAGACATATTGAATATTTCTTTAAATCAAAGCCTGAATGGTGCACAATGTCTTAAGATATTTGTAAATCCTTTACTTTCATTTTGATATATAAAAAAATAATACAAAACGTTTTTCTGCAGAAAGCAAATCTATTCATAATAACAATTGAGCTCTCACTTTACTCCTTAGAACTTTCTTCTGCATATAAAACAATTACAAAAAGATACTTTTTCAAACTCTTAAAATAAAAAATCTAAAGGGAATATTAAATATAACGGAATTTGGAATTTAACAGAAATAAAACAAATGAGCAGAAATTAAACTTTGATACATTGATTCTGTTAAAAATTTATAAAAAGAAGGCAGTGAGCTAAACCCAACTAAAAAAAAAATAAATAAAATAAAAACTCTTTTTAATAGAACACAGTTTATTCGTGGCTAACGTTAAATTATCATTTAAATATTAATTTAAGTGCAACACAATGAAAAGACATTGCTGTAGCGCTTACAATATTTTTAACACTTTAAACTCAAATAACTTTTCTTATATTTACAGTTTTTAACGTAAAAATAAGATGATCAAAAAAAGGCTACGTAGTTACAATTTAACAATGACCACGATTATTTATTATTATAGGCTAATTTAAGTTATTACTAATCTAAAAGGAACAAGCAAAATCAGTTATTTTAATTTTGCCACATTACTAAATTTAAAAAGTAATAGACAGATAGCGATGAAACTTTATCTGAAAAGCTGGACAAAGTAATTTTAAAATATTTCACCGTGACCTATGAACTACTTTATAACAGAAATAAAACAGGTTCCGTTACCACTAAAATGAAAGTTATGAACTTGCTTAGAATAAGTCATATTATCAAATGATGTGACAAATAAGTCTTCAGCATTTGTTACACCGCCTTGAAATATTATTTCAAAAGCTTGCACATGTTCACAAAAGCCAACAGTCTTAAGTGGTTGCAACATAAAATATATAGTCTTTTCATTTGTAAAAATGTTCTTAATTTGACCAAATTTACTCTCGCAAAGTTGTAACGCAAAGTCTTTTTTGTACAAAATATTGTTAATGGTTATCCAAGACACGCTAAAAAATGTTTTTGACAACTTAAATTTTGTTACTATTTTTTCAGGTATTACATATCGCGGACCAAAGTCTACCTTGGTTTGAAATCCTCTTTTATCTGAAAGTCTACCCGATAATTTCAGCTGTTGTTTAAGGGATAGTGTTACTAACAAATTTTTTCGACAAGTAACTGAGTTAGCGGTTTGTTTCAGTTGTCTGTGAAAAGCTTCATTCCTCATACACCAGTAAAATCTTGGTGGTCCTAAATTTCTAATAACAATGGGGTAGTGCAATAGTAAATGATATTTTGAATAGAATTTTCTGCTACATTTAAAACAAGTAAAACTATTTGTAGTTGCGTCCATTATAATTTTAAAATATTATTTTTAGGATAAAAATACTTTTTCGGTAAATATAAGTGATAAAAGTAGTAAAAGCTATGTCTTAGATAACCTCGTTAGTAAATAACAATATATTTTACAGCAAATCATTAATATGGGGGATTACAGGATCAAATTCTGTAAAATATTTGTAAAGTTGCCACTGCAATAGATACCATAAATGTGAACATTGGACAGGATATTTAGCGTCTAAAATTTGGTACATTTTAAAACAAAAATCGAGAGCGTCGATTACGGACATACATTTGTATTCATAATTGTTAACAATGACAAAGCTGCCTGTAATATTACTTAATGTCGGTCCTATTAGTATTATATATGGTTGAACGGTTAATCCTTTTTTAAACATATAGTCAATTTGATCCTTTTTGCTTTTTCTAAATCTCCCGGAATTTTGACATGTACTAAAAAAGCATCTCGTGCCTCACTTATCGATGGTTTCCAATTGGTTTTACCCGCTTGAACCTGAGTCTTGGGAGGAACTAATGCTGGTAATACATACAATTTTATTGCTGTAGCTGAATCTACAAAAGAAAA